CATCTCAAATCAAACTCAATAAATATGATTAATTTATTTTAATTAAAATTAATTAATTTTCGTTTATTATAAATTAAACTAACTCTTTTTTTTTTTTTTATAATTTTATGTTATTAAATTTTTTTGGACCTTTTTAGTCAGTTTTTTTTTTATTGAGTCGGGTCGACCCGACCTACAAACACGACCTCTCAACCCAAAACGAGCAAAACAGATCAAACACCAAACAGAAAAAAATTTTTAATTAGGGTTCATCATGAATGCATCTCATTTCCAGCAAAAGATGAACAGATTCACAGATTCGTCAAGCAACTAAACAGGCAAATAATCTTTCATTCATTTTCTCAAGAAAAATACATATAACCTTAAACATTAAATGAAAATACAAAGGAAAAATCAACAAACAGATCAACACTCACGGCAAAGTTTTCTGGGAAAAATAGAGCCAGATCTGATAGGAGGGATCCCACCCACAGGACCAGGCTCCCATCGTCCCCTTCACCACCATTCCCAGAAAACTTCTCTATTCAGAAAATTACCTACACAAAAGCAAACACAACCAATAAGCCCTCCGTCAACCTCCGGTATAAAACTCGAGCCCCTTTCAACAGAAAACTTTTCCTTTTCTTCGCCGGCAACACCAGAAAAAATACAAAAGGACTCCTCCGCCGTCAACACCAGAACCAAAACAACCCCCCTAGCTATCCTAACACCACCTATTTAGACAAAAATCAAAGGAAACCCTAAAGGACGCTGGTCTACCATCATGCTCAGTTGGCTGCCACGTGGGGTGCAGGATCCGGTTACAGAAGAAGGGCGGCGCAGAGAGATTTGGTTGCAGAAGAGGGGCGTCGCAGAGGGTGGGTGTAGGCTGTTGTAGGCTCGACGGGTGCAGGAGAAGGGAGGCGGAGTCGGCTGGGTGCAGGGTAGGTTGTAGGCGTGCGAGGGTGTGATGATGGCTAGTTCGGTGATAGGGGGTAGGGCGTGGTGCAGGGCAGGTGTAGGCAGCAAGCCGGGCTCGGGTGAGGATGCAGAGCAGGGGCACTGGGCAGGGGTGCTGGTGCGCAGGGCGCAAGGCGCGGGCTCAGGGCGTTGGGGTGCGCAGGGTGAGGGGATCTGGTGCGGGAGCAGGGGTGGATTCGGGGCAGCAGCAGGGGGAAGGCTGGGTGCCTGGGGAAAAAGGTTCTAGACCCGTTTTTATTTCACTTTTTTTTGTTAGGTTAAACGGGTTTGGGTTTGGGTTTTGGGTATTGGGATTTTGGGCTTGGGTAGTTGGTAGGCTTGGGTTTTTGGATTTGATTTTGGTTTTTTTTTTTTCGGCTTAAGGCTTAAAATTGAAATGGGTTGGAATTGGGCCACTTAAGATGGGTTTAAGGTGTAAATGGGTTTTGGGTTGAACTTTAATGCATTTCACCCTTCAACTTTTCATTTCTTCAATTGAGTCCTTTTTCTCGTTTTCTTTACCATCCTCTTCGCGAAATCCCGTTTTTGCCCATAAACCTAACAATAGAAGCAAAGATAACAATATATTAGTTAAAATAAAATAAAAATAAAATCCTATTAAAAATTTGAGTTATGATATAACCATATTAGATTAAATCCAAGGTAAATTATCTTTTTAAATTTAAAATTTTGATGATTAAAAGAATAATGAGGGATTGAATTTACTATAATAGATGATTTTGGAATTGATTTTTGTAAGGATAGGTCCGAGGTGCCAAGCCTCGGACTGTTACAGTAATTTCTTTATGACCGAAGTGAAGGATAAATCCAAAACTTCCCGCTCAAATAGCTGCATGACAGTGACAATAAGCATGCCCGCACCTAATTCCTTATGATGAGCTGCACAGTAGTTATGGCGGACATCCTTGCATCTGAATACCTTTCAAATTCCAGGTCAAATAATCGTCTGGATAAACATGTCAGGCTCCGATTATCTTGCTTGGCATGCCACGTGGGTTCCTCATTGGATCCTATAAATACCCCCCACGGCCACGTCAAAAGTTAATTGAAACCAACCCTAAGCTCCTTTTATCTCCACTCTAAAGGTAGCCCCGATTATTGCTGACTTAAGCATCGAAGTGTCTGCCTCGAGGACCCACCTCGGGGCTTTGCAGGTCAAATTGGAGTGCAGATACGGACTGAAGAAGGACTTCTGGTTTGGTGCAATTACATTGGCGCCTTCTGTGGGAAACGAACTAAAAGCTCCCTTGTTGCTCTCTCATCATGGTTAACACTCGATCAGTCTGAGCTGGAAACTCATCTCAGCCTCTTGGACGAGGCCAGGTCCCTAGTAACCTTCCACCTCACCTCCCACCTCTGATCCCGAATACATTCCCTCATGTTGATCATGCAGAAGGAGGAGATGAAAATCAACCACACAATTCGGCTTATAACTCAGCCTCTACTGCCAACCAAGACGTAGTTGCAGCTCAGCTTGCTGCCATGCAACAACAGTTTAGCATCTTTCAGCTAGTGCTGGCTCAACTATTAGCCCAGAATAATCCTGGTGATCCACTCATCAACCTACTTAATCTTGCTCCACAACCCCCGCCCCCACAACAAAACCCTGAACCAGTTCAGCATGTTCTTGCTCTTAGTGAATCTTAATGCCAATCTCACATCGCACCAGCTCAGCAACCCCTCCCTGATGATGTCACTCGACGTCTAGACAGCCTAGAAAAGCTAGTAGTTGAGCAGAGGGGTGCCCCACCTCCACGTCATGCCGCGGACTCCATACCTCACCCTCTAAACACCAACATCACATTAAAAACCTACCCTGCTGGCTTCAGAATACCTCAACTTGAGACTTATGATGGGACGAAGGATCCCGATGATCACCTGCATGCTTTCTACTCTTGCATGCAAGCCTAGAACACCTCTGATGCGTTGATGTGCAAAATCTTTCCCTCTACTCTCCGAGGTAATGCTCGAACCTGGTATTACAGTCTACCTCCTAGGTCAATCAGCTCTTATACAGAAATGACATTTGCTTTTGCCACAAAGTTTTCCAGTAGAAGGTTGATCAGGAAAACCACTTCTGAGCTAATGCGAGTTAGGCAGAGGGATGGAGAGTCTTTGAAGAATTTTATGAGCAGATTCAATGATGCAGTACTGGAGGTTAGCTCTTTCGACCAAGCTGTGGGAATTATAGCTGTGATCTTAGGTCTTAGCCATGAAAGATTCAGAGATAGTCTGCTCAAACATCCTGCCACCACCTTCAGTGAGGTAAATGATAGATCATTGAAATTCATAACTATTGAGGAATACGCCTTGTCGCAGAAACTAGCCCCCCCTAAGAACTAAAACCCATACTGGAGAGATGAGAATCCAAGCAGGAAACGGATGAGGATAGCACAGAACCGAGGTCCGATGTCGACCTCTGTACCGAGATTCGGAAGGCCGAACTCTACACCCCCACAACAGTCTAAAGGTAAGCCTCCAGTTAATTGGACTCCTTTTAATTTGCCGAGGTCACAAATCTTCATGCAGATCAAGAATAAGATGGATTTACGGCGTCTTAGCCCAATGAGAACTGCTGTTGCTAGCCGAGATCATATTAGATATTGTGATTTTCATCAAGATCACGGTCATACAACAAAGCAATGCAACAGCTTGAGTTCCGAGCTGGAAAGTCTTGCCTAGAAGGTACTATTGAATGAGTACATTCAGAGCGCTGAACAGCCAAGGTTTGTCAGAGAACAAGGGCCACAGCCTCAAGGAGTTCATAACCCACCAAACCGGCAAGGTGTGGGATATCAGCAAACCCCACCTCCGTTCCCACCACTAGCTAGAATCATACACATGATCACGGGAGGCCTGGAAGCGGGTGGATTGAGCTATAAATAGCAAAAGTTGTATGTTAGAGAGGTTAAGCATCAGAATCGAGCTCAGAAACGGAAGTTTGACGATGCTGAGTGGAAGAATCAACCCATTACTTTCACATCTGCTGATCTCGATACAGTCATCACACCTCATAATGACCCTCTAGTCACTTCTGTTATAATTAACAATTGTGAGGTGCAGCGTGTCCTTGTTGACACAGGGAGTGCACCAGACATCATGTACTTCCATTACTTTGAGAGTCTTGGCTTGGATCCAACTTTGTTGCAGTGGTATGATGGTCCCATCTACAGATTCAACAACTAACCAATTCTGGTTGAATGAGTCCTAACCATGAATGTTGCATTTGGAAGTGGCCGAAATTATGTGACCCATTCGGTTAGGTTTCTAGTAGTCAAGATGGTGTCCTCTTTCAACGTTGTCATTGGCCGACCCACACTTACTGAAATTCGAGCTGTGGTCTCCTAGTCTCACCTATGCATGAAGTTCCCAACTCCTATGGGAATAGCAACGCTGCGAGGCAACTAGGAGGTGACTGGACATTGCTATATCACCTCGGTCACACAACCTTAGAAGGGCAAAGATCAAACACCCGAGGCTAATCCCAAACAGATTCCTGATAATCAACAAGTTATGGGTGTTGAAATAATAGATAACCGACCAAAAGATGAAACCAGAGCTGCTCCAGTCGAAGATGTTGAAGAAGTGCCCATTGATGATAGAAATCTGAGTCGAAAGACGCAAATTGGAACTAGATTGAGCCTGGAGGAAAGAGTAGAGCTAATAGCTTTTCTCTGAGCTAACAATGATGTCTTTGCGTGGACTTCGGCAGACATGCCAGGAATCCCAAATTCGGTGTCTCAACATAAGCTCAGTACCAATCCATTGAAGAAACCAATGGCCCAGAAGCGACGTCTCTTTGGGGGGGAGAGGCTTCAGGCTATAAAAGAAGAGGTAGAGAAACTTCTACAAGCTGGTTTCGTCAGAAAAGTTGATTATTGCGAATAGGTGGCTAACCCTGTCCTGGTGAAGAAGGCAAATGGTAAATGGTAGATGTGCATCGATTACACAAATCTTAACCAAGCCTGCCCCAAGGATTGCTATCCGATGCCGAGCATTGACAAATTGGTTGAAACGGCTTCAGGTAATGAGAGGTTAAGTCTCTTGGATGCATATTCTGGGTATCACCAAGTGCCGATGGCTCCAGAAGATGAAGAGAAAATGTCGTTCTATGCTGGTGACGAAATCTATTGCTATGTAATGATGCCATTTAGCTTAAAGAACGTAGGCGCTACTTATCAGAAGATGGTGACCATTGTTTTCCGAGCTCAGATTGGTTGGAATCTGGAAGTTTATGTTGATGACATTGTAGTAAAGAGCTTGAAAGCAGAAGACCACCTAGCTGATCTTGGCGAAACTTTCAACAACCTCCGAAAGAACAGAATGCGGTTAAACCCAGCCAAATGCATCTTTGGCGTGGAGTCTGGAAAGTTTCTGGGTTTCATGGTGTCCAGAAGAGGGATTGAGGTCAACCCAGAAAAGATCAGAGCAATTGCCGAGATGGAACCGCTGAAGTCAGTGAAAGAGATACAGAGATTGACGGGAAGGGTGGCAGCTCTTCATCGATTCATATCGAAGTCAGCAGATAAGTGCCTGCCATTTTTCAAAATTATGCAGTCAGCCGCCTAGAAAGATGAATTAGGAAGACAAAAGAAATTTGAATGGAATCAGGAATGCCAAGCCGCATTTGAAGAGCTGAAGTCTTATCTTAGCTCGCCACCCCTACTGACTAAGGCCATAGATGGGGAGATTCTCTATTTGTATCTGGGAATTTCAGATCAAGCCATTAGTTCGGTTTTGGTGAGAGAAGAAGCCAAGCAGCAAAAACCAATCTATTATATCAGCAGCGTACTGCATGGTGCAGAATTGAGATATCCTATTGCTGAGAAAGCAGCATTAGCAGTTGTTACTTCGGCCAGGAAGCTGAGGCCATATTTCCAGTCACACCCAATCATTGTACTTACAAACCAACCTCTTCGACAGATTCTACAGAAACTAGAGTGCTCTAGAAGATTAATTAAATGGGCAGTAGAACTGGGGGAATTCGAGATAACATTTCAGCAGAGATCTGCAATCCAAGCTCAAGCACTGGCAGATTTTATCGTAGAATGCACCCCATGTCCTTCAACCTCTGATCCGGAGCCCAACGACTAGACTTTACATGTTGACAGGGCATCTAATAGCAAGGGTTTAGGAGCTGGTGCTCTCTTAATTGGCCTAGATGGATACCAAAGTGAACATGCCCTAACATTTAACTTCAATGCAACAAACAACATGGTTGAGTACGAAGCTCTGCTACTTGGTCTACAACTAGCATTGGAGTTGAAAATCAACGCGATCCAGGTATATAGTGAATCCCAGCTGGTGGTGAACCAAATCAACTCAATCTGCGAAGTCGTTGATCCTGTGATGGTGAAATATGTAGCCCTGGTGGCTGAGCTGAAGTGTAAATTCCAGAAATTCTGTCTAAACAAAATCCCCCAAACTGAGAATGAACAGGCAGATTCACTCTCAAAGTTTGCCTCTGATAACTCTTTAAGTTCCAGATCAGTTCTTGTGGAGGTCTTAGATGAACCAAGCTTCTTTAAACCACGGATGATGGAGATCAGCACAAACCCAGATATGCCGAGTTGGACTAACTCAATTATCTCCTTCTTACGAGACGGGATAGTACCTGAGGGCAAGCAGGACGCACTGAAGTTGAGGAAGAAAGCATTTCGGTACACACTCATTGATGGGGTCCTTTATAAGAGATCTTTCTCACTCCCTCTTCTACGGTGCTTAAATCCCTACGAAGCTGAGTATGCACTTCGGGAGGTATATGAGGGTGTCTGCGGGAGCCACGTTGGTGCCAGAACTCTGGCTCACAAAGTCTTAAGGCAGGGATATTACTAGCCAAACATGTACAAAGATGCCACTCACTTCGTTCAGAGATGCCCAAAATGCCAATTCTTTGCACATCTTACTCACCAACTAGCAGAAGAGCTCACGAACTTGATAGCACCATGGCCATTTGCTCAGTGGGGACTGGATCTTCTGGGCCCATTCATGAAAGGGGTTGGTGGCGTAACCCATTTGATTGTCGGTGTGGATTATTTCACAAAATGGGCTGAAGCTCGGCCATTATCCAGTCTTACCTCCAAGAAGGTCGAAGACTTTGTTTTCAGCTTGATCATTTGCAGATATGGGATCCCAAATCAGATTGTGGCTGATATTGGAACACAATTCAACTGCACTTCTTTCTGAGATTTTTGTTCCAGCTACGGGATCAAATTGCAGTTCACCTCGGTTTACCATCCGGAGTCAAATGGTATGGTAGAATCTGTCAATAAATGCATTTTAGAAGGAATAAAGCCAAGGTTGGAACAACACAAGGCCAGGTGGGTAGACGAGCTCAACAACGTCCTATGGGCATACAGAACAACGAGCAGAACTGCCACAGGTACTATTTGCAAACCAAGTTCCTATCGTTTTATTTTTATTCTATGTTACTTCCTCACTTGTGACTCTACCTTAGATCAAATATGCATAATATGTAAAGCATATTCTAAAGAATATAATTTCATAAAATAGGTGAAACACCCTACCACTTGGCCTTTGGCACCGAAGCCGTTATTCCTATTGAAATAAGAGTCCTAAGCTTCCGGGTCACCCATTTTGATGAAGGATGAAATGGACAGTTGCTTCGGGAGAACCTTGATCTGCTTGATGAAGTCAGAGAAGAAGCACGGCTTCGAACTCTAGTTTATAAGCAGAAAATAGCCAACTTCTACAATAAACGAGTCCGTCCTTGAACATTTAAAGTAGGAGACCTCGTTCTCAGAAAGGCTGGCCTAACAGGGTTTGAAACTCGTTTTGGCAAACTGGCCCCGAACTGGAAAGGCCCTTATACGGTGGCCGAAGTGCCACATCCTGGTGCCTATGTCCTCCAAGATGCTGAGGGGAAGAGAGTTCCTAGAGTCTGGAATATCAATAACTTAAAGAAATTTTATCCATAATAAAATTCTTTCAAGTGATCTATGTCTTACTAATTCTTTACATTACTTACTTCGTGATCATTGAGATTCATTTCATCTCTTATTCTATGTATCCGAGGTCAATCAGTTCATTCATTCCTTGAATTTCACTCCTATTAATGAATACCACTTCACATATGAAGTGCTTTATTTCCTTTCAATTCATTTGAAGTGATATACTTCTTCTTAATTCGTTTGAAGTGGTTTACTCCCCCTTAGTTCATTTCCGAAGTAATTAACTTCTTTTTATTTCACCTCTGAAATGATAAACTTGAAAACATATCCAAAGTAATTTCAGTTCTTTTATTAATATAAAATAACAAAAACATAAAGCAAACACAACATGTAATGTTAAAACTGAATTTTCATTCAAAGTAAACAGTATTACAACAGATTGTTTTACTGTTGTTACAATAAAAACATCAAAGGAAAAACAAAAAATAGAAATTATTCCTCCACTAGAAGAGGTGGCTAAACTGGCTCCTGCTTAGCTAGAAGAGGTGGCTGTGTTGGCTGCTGCTCATCTGGCAGAAAAGGCTGCTCATCGTCAGAAGGAACTGGATGAATCTCCACTTCTGGAATTGGTTGGCTTTCATCCACTTTAGTTCCTTCCACTCCTGCCTCCACTTCGTCTTCCTCTACCGCTGCCCCTTCTTCCTTCACTACAACGAACTCAAAGTCGAACTTTGGAGGGAAAACAACACGTCCGTTTGCATCATGATCCCACCTCAGTTTGATCTGAGGACGGAAGTCTGCTGACATGCTCTCATCGTTCTCCTCCACTCATTTTTCTTGCTCGCCGAAGGTGATCTTTGTAATATCCACTTCGGGATATTCAGCCTTCACCTTCTTTCTGCAGTCCGTGAAAGCAATGATGGCAGTTGGCAGCCGGTACAAGTTGACGATGTTGTCAAACGAACTGGAGCTGATGAAGTTGTTGATGTGCTCCTTCATCCCATTGTGCACCAACATCTGCACATTCTCCTTCAGCTCCACGAAACCTTCCTTCATCAGCATTATTTCCTTCGCTTGAGCCTCACGCTCGCTTTTAGAGATCCTTCATTTGCTCTCCTCAAAGACGAGCTTGGTGCTCAGGGAAGCCCTCTCCTGCTCCAGTTGTTTCACAGTTGGAACCACCTCGTTCAGCGCCTCTTGCAATTCCTTATTCTTTTTCTCCAGCTCCTCCTTCTCTTTTTGCAGCTGGTCACACTGCTTCTGCAAGAGGGAGCGCTCCTTCACACTATCCAGAACTCCTGGGCTAGACCATTCACCCAGCTCGCGCTCTGCAATTCCAAGCAGAAGTTTAAAAAAAGAGAGAGAGAGAGAAAAGAGAAGAAGAAGGAGATTAAACAAACAAACAACACCACTACACGTAAATTAACTTAACATACCTCCAAAACATGTTTCACCACTGAAGCCCCACAATACCTCAGAGCCGTCCCGTGCTTGACACTTGTCCATTTCGGGGAAGGTGGTGTTGATAAACCTCCTCACCCTCGTCATGTTCTTCGCCTCGAACAAGCTGCTCTAAAAGGAAAATGGGGGAATATGACCCTTTCCCTTGCCAGGAGCCCATACCTCGGCCTTCTCCTCAGACTCCCTGAGCTCAGGGTCGAGCTCAACAGGAGGAGGCCGAGGCACGAACTGGGGAACCTCGTTCCCCCTCTCCTCCTCCTCCACCACCTTCTTCTTCTTCTGTAGTGCCCCTCTCTCCTCCCTACTTTTCTCTTCAACTACAGCTCTGGCTCCTCTTCCTCCACTCCGGCTGCAGTGCTGGGCACTATCTCCTTCCCAACTCCTCCCTCATCCACTTGTTTGGTTGAAGTCTTTGACTTCTTCCTTGGCTTCTTGGGAATGGCCACTCCTCCAGCAGTGTTCAAAAATTTGTCCATTTCAGCTACAAAACAGGAACATACAGTATTAATTATACAACCATATACTATACATTAAACACTACAATGCATATTAAACAAACCTTCACTTAAAGCGCTTGGCCCATAGAGCTCAGCAGCTTCTATGCATTCTGCGTTGGTGAGGTCCATGATGTTCAGTAAATTCCCCCCTTCTTCACCAACTTCCCCACTTCCTCCTCCTTATCCTCATTTAAGCTAAACTTATTCTGGTTGGCTCTTTTAGGCTTCTAGGATGCTAACTCCTCCACCTCGGTATCCCCCCTCTCCCATTTCGTATCATCTACAAAAAGGAATTTTTCCTTCCATCCTTTAATGGATGAAGGACCCGTAGTAAATAAAGCCCTACTCTCCCTATTTGCTACCCTAGGGGTGAAGTAGTACCACCCCTTATCTTTCCTACTACCCCCCCTTTAAAACAAAAAAATACTTAAACATATTCACGATTGGCACATTAATCCCCTGAGCTCGGCAATAAACTAAAAACCCTATTATTACCCTCATAGCATTGGGGATTAACTGCGTCAACCCTATACTATAATCTAACAACAAACCTACTAGCAACTCAGGAATTGGAAACCTAAGCCCAGCTAACAAATAGTGGGCACATACGGGCATCCAATGATCCCGAGGAGCAGAGCACGCCCTCTCCTCTACCCCAATTGGCCTAACTAACACTCGGGAAGAGATTTCATAATTCTCCACTAAATGACCCAGGCTATCCTTGGTCTCGAGTTCAGACCTATACTGCTTCACCTCCTCCACTATGTTTGCATCTATATCATAACCCCTCTCTCTCCTACCCTCCACTTTTACCACAGTGATGGGTACACCATCTTCTCCACTACCAACTATCTCCCTTCCTCTCACTCCTTCACCTCCTCCCACCCCTTCCACCATCCTCTCCGAGCTCGATGGAGACGGACTACTCTCCGAGTCCATGCTACCATACTCCAGGGGCATCACCTCACTCCCTACTACACTTACTGTTTCTTCTGAAGACATTTTCTCAATCTCTGCACGAGGTAGGGGGGAGGAATGAAGTCAGGA